TGATAATTATGAGTAATTCAGACATATATATAATGTGAAATTATAAGCTAAAGTCCTTACCGTTCACATAATGTCTTTATTCCTAAAATAAATTGTTCTAAAAATCCAAGACTATGTAACTTAACATTTTAACATATATTTTTATTAAATTATTCTTATATATTTAATGCATATATCTGAAGAAAGCCCAATCCCTGCACAAACAAATGGGAATCCCAAACAAGAAACAGAAATTAAGCTGAGTAATATAATTTAATGAGATCTTGACCCACTGTAGAATATTTGTTGTTGTCGTGTCTATAATCAAATGGGAGACTTTGTTGGGGTCAGTGGGCTGCGATATTGAATCAACTATAGAGAGTACTCGAATAGAAAATACCCTGACTCAAAAAAACACATTTAATTATTTTAAATAATTAAATTGAAATATATTTTTAAATTATTTAAAAACTTATTTACATATATATTTACAGATGTTCCTTATCCCAAAAAAATATTACGGTGGTAACTATAAACTTTAAAGACACTTTGAGCATATGGATTATATTTATTATTGAAGAGGGATCTAACTTTAACGGTCACAGAAACCGACTTGGCTGCTGATCGCAATCGACAATATACGCATTTTATTGCGTATTACATTGAATTTATACGATTTCTTCGAATGTTTTTTCCTCTATGACTTCATCTTGCATCTTTATAATCAAATAGCTTGTATGTCAAAAAATCTTATAAAAATAAACTAAAAACCTCTGCTATCGCCGCCAATTTATTGCTATCATACCAGATGGCAAAGCCGAAATTAAATTAGCAGCCGACAATAAAATTACAATTTTGTAGAACTGTGTTAGTTTTCGGAAATTTAAGCAGCGGATCTATATTAGAAAATTTATCACATTAGTATAAATACAAGGTCTTTAAAATTTAATACAAATTGTATTAAAAAACATTAAATAACTTGCAAAATTTAGAGATTCTAGCTTCAAAGACGTTCGAGATATAATTTAATAATGGAATTTAGATCAGCTTTTTAATCAATCGCAATGAATAGGGAAGAGTTATCGACTTTTAGAAACAAAGTTGATCTGCGCGTGCTACATATGGACCCACAAAAAGCTCATAGGCTCTGAGATCGTCCCGTTGACACATACGGACAGGACAGGGACAGCTAAGTGGATTAAGCACTTAGCTCGTCATCCTGATCGACGATATATACAATTTATAGGCTCTGGCACGCTTGCTTCAGCCTGTTACAAACATTTTAACAAAACTAATATAACCTAAATGCACATTTTCAATAGGTACAAGGTGCAAGGGTATAAATACTATATACATATATATACATATATATGTATGTGTGGACAACAACAACAATAGCATGCAAGTGTGTTGCGTGCCATCAGCTAATTCCGGAAATTTACCTATAGACATGGCTAACGGGCATTAAACAGAAGCAGACGAGCTGACCATTGTGTACATATGTGTATGTGTGCGTGTGTGTATGCGTGGGAGCTTTTGATTAGATTTCAAAATTAAAACGTAATAGAGGAAAGTGTTAACAACTGTGAAATGGCAGAAAACAACAACAGAATTGGAGCACAGTGTGACCAAATGCCAATTGCAGCGGCAACCGACAGAGGTTAACAAACTCTAACGAACTCAAGCGGCAAATGCAAACGCAAACATACATACACACATACATACATACGCTCACATACACACACCTTGAAATGCAGATATCAGTATGCGTGTACAGGAATTTTTGATCAGCATCAAACGCAACTATTGGTTGCTTTTGTTTTTGTTTTTATCATGCTGCGTGCCAGTGTTTCTCTTAATATAACTAGTTTCCCACAGGAACATACAAAAATACATACATGCATGTATAAGTATATCTGTGAGTCTGAGTACAGACTCAAATGAATCTGGTAGCGTCTTGAGAAGAGGCATAAAAGAAGAGCAACAAACAACAGACCAGCTAAGTAGAACGGAAGCAGGCAGTGAACCTGAAAAATAGAAATAACTGCACTCCACCAGCTACCTCTGACGCTTTACCTAATTCCCACATGCACGCATATACTGTGACACACACACAATTTTTTTTTAATTTATTTACTCACTTTGGTTTGCAATTAACTAATCTCAATCTTGTAGTTTGTCTACTTTTAAAAAAACGCTTGTATATGTATTAGTTTTTTTTTAGAAATTTTTCTTTAGCCGACGGTTTAGCTCGCGATGTTTTAGTCGCAAGGCGCAAAAACATAATGCAAACGCAAACAAAAAATCTTGTTTTGGTTATTGTTGTGGAGCGCATTGCGCAGGTCCGTTACTCGGTTTGCGTGTCAGCTGCAGAGAGAAAGCGCGGCTCGTGTTTAATATACTTGACAGACTAAACAAGATTCCTGTTTGTTGCTATTAATTAACTTTGCAAATACTATAAATTATATTGCCTAAAAGAGTAAAAAAATTGTGATCTAAACCATTTCCATCATATTTTAAGTTAATTTATTTTAAAATTCAAACTGTGGCGGCTGTCGATAGGCTACATTTAGGAGCGCAAATATCGACATTGCGTTCTACTTTTTTAAGCAATGTGGCAGCATTACTGTTTACAATATTTTCAAATATGACGATAGTTTTGCAGTACTCGCTTCCAAAGCGACATTGTGTTTTATTTAGTTTTATCTATGTGGCAACACTACTGCTCACGATATTTTCAAATGTGACGATAGTTTCGCTGTGCTCGCGGCCAACGTAAACTTCAATTTGTTATTAGTTTAAAAAATTTGCCTTCTAAAAATGTATTTATTTATGGTGCTTAGTTGAAAATATTTTATTTGCAGATCCTCTCAATCGTGCTACACTGACAGTTTTTTCCCATGATAAAGTTTAGAAACTGTTTAAAAATGATGCAATTTTTTGGCCGCAATGGAAAGATCAAATCGAAATCAAACAAGAAATTAAAGTACATCAAATATTGCATCATCCCAAGGTAAGTCAAAATTATATTCATGAAACTTACCTCGAGAAAAACGTTGACACAAATTTCAATAGGTTATTAAGTTATTAATGAAAATTAGGTTTTTTTTTCAAATATTTGAAATACGTGCAGTTATTTCGTGACTTTATTAAATAAACTTTAACTTGTTATGCGCAGTTAGATATCATTAATGCTCTATACAATGTTGATACATAATTTCGAATATATATACCAATTACCCATGTATATAGAATTGTATATATATAGATATATATAGGTATATGTACATACGAGTACTTTTTATTATTTTCTTGTACACACCAAATGCTCATTTAGACCAGATGCTTAACATTATATACATTGAGACTAATAGAAGTTTTTGAAGTATTCTTTTACAATATTTTCGTTTTTATAATAGACATAGCTTAATAATTCTCTACACAACTAAACTACTCGCCTATATTGCAATTTTTAAAGATTTTTTACTGATTCTGACTAGAAGAACTCGTTCATTGGGTTTCGTTCAGTTTTTGTTTTCCAAATGCAACCCTGTTTGTCCATTTGGCTACAAATAAATATCGATAACGTTTCGTATTGGACTTAAAGCTACATAGAATTCGATATCGGATAGTCAACTACGGTTGAGCATTTGAGCAGCTCTCCCATTCCTATTTAACTTGACTAAATCTTGACTAATCAAACATAATCAACAAGCTTAAGTTGACATCCACCCTAACTACTATTTTTCACTTAATTATTGCTAAGCTTCCCCCCACACACACATACACACACACGTACACGCCCACACACGCCACCCATTGAGCACCGTTATTTTTATTACTGTTTACCGTACGCACGTCATCCCTGTGCCATCTCTTTCTAACCGGCGGCGCACTAACGGAAGTGTGCCAATTTCAATGGGTCCGCTTTCAACGGTTTTTGTGTGTTAATTGCTATGACCACCCACCCCTGCTCCTGCCGCACTGCAACCCCCCGCCAGTGTTAGCCATTACAACAACACTAAATTTCAAGTGCATTAAAAAGATCATGGGTGGTAAATTAACTAAGCGCCGCTTCGCTCGTCACTTGCTGTTCCATTCCTGGCGTCGCATTGGGTCGCCATTGTGGCATCATTCAACATCTACTTAACTTCCCCAATACACAGTTATTTAACGTTAATTGATGCTGCGTCTTTGTTGCTGCTATTGCTGCCAATTGTTAATGCGTACTTAATTATATTAACTCAAATACGCACATACAGAGTTATATATATATATGTGAGCTACATATTTCCTTGCACTGTTTCATTCACTCGTTTCAGTTTTGCTATGCTAATCAATTTCTGTTTTGTGTCATTCATTTTCTCGTGTTGCATTCGTCCGTTTCTGTTGCGTGCTTAATCTGAACTACATTTCTAAATAATATTTATTACTTATAGGCTAAAAGTATATAATTAGGTATGTATATATATGTGTGTATATATATGTATATTAACACCTTTGAATAATTGCGTATGTATTTGAAATTTGCACCACAACGGTCGGCTTTGTTATTATTTTCTATTATATTTTAATAATTTACAAGAAATTTTATTAATAGAAATGAATAAATAAAGCAAAAGTCAGAGGCATTTGAGGATATTTAAGCAATTTCTTGGAAGGAAGTTTATATGTACTTTGTTTCAAAAGTCCTTGGTAAATACTCAAGTTAACATCACGTTAAAGAGCTTACTAACTTTGTAAGTACTTTAGAAATAACAATCTCGAATTTCAATTAAAGTGCTGAAAATCAAGTTGAAAGAAACAATTTACTGTATGTTAAAGTGCATGCTAACTTTAACAACCAGTTTTGAACAAAAACTAACTTTGTTGAGCGTTTATATTGTGAATCAACAAATAAGAAATATCTGACATGATGTTAATGTGAATGTCAAATTTGACAGCCACTTGAGAAAGAGTTTTTTTTACAAATGAAAATAAGTGTAAAAAGTTGATGAATTTCCTTGTTGTGTCTGCTAACTTTAACAGTAGCTGAAAAAAGAAATTAGAATTTTTCAATGAATAAAGCAAAGTTCATGTTAAAGTGTATGTCTAAATTGACAGGTACTTGGAAAATGAAAAGCTTCTGGTAGTTTGTAGAACCTTAGCTTAAGATGTTTGCAATAAAATAAAATTAGTGCCTGCTAAGTTTGACAGCTAGTTAAGCTATAATAGCAATAGCTCTGTCGAGAGTTCTGACTTGAAGCTAAGCTGTTTTGGTATACAATTTACTTAGGGTTTTTGCTTAGACTTATGTTTACGTAATTATTTAAATTTTTTTTGTATTTTTAAATAATTATTTATAGATTCCCATTGTTTAGGCTTGGATATTATGTGTTTTGTGTATGCTATAAATTCTATTTTGTGTACTTATATCCATTTTACCACAGACCTACAGAATTAGCCGAATCGACGCTCTTTAGAGAAACTCCCGAAAGGGCTCATCGAAATTATCATTGACATCTGGAAAAACGCTCCCAGCCACGCCCACATTGCCTGAGCCACCCACAGCGACAGCAACTGCAACGCCACCCACATTCAAAGTGGTGCCACCATTGAGTATAAGCGTTGGCTGTTGCTGTGGTTGTTGCTGCTGCTGTTGCTGCTGCTGCTGTGGCTGTTGTTGCTGTTGTGGCAGCAACATGTTGTTGCCTAGATGCGCATGTGAGTGCAACAGCTGTGACTGCTGAGCATGATGATGGTGTGGCAAGTGCTGCTGCTGCTGTTGCTGCTGCTGCTGCTGCTGCTGCTGTTGCTGCTGCGTTTGCTGTTGCTGCTCCGCATGCATGTGCATGGGCAGCGTTTGCATGGCATTGGCGCTCGTTGCCGCACTCAACAAGCTGCCGTCGCTAGCAGCGAGCAGCGCGCAGTCGTAGGCACCGCCGCCGCCGCCGCCAGTGGCCAGAGCATCGTCGAAGCACAAGCCATTGCTGGCACCAGTTGCGGCAGCAACCACATTGCTGTCAGCTGTCAAATTCGTAAGCAACACGCCGCCAACAGCGCCGGCGTTCAGCTCCATGGCGGCAGCTTCCTCGTTGCGCTTGGAGAGTATAATGTGCGTCAGATTGATGATGTAATTCTTGGCCAGCGTTAGGGTTTCGATTTTGGACAGACGCCGCTCCATCTCCACGTGTGGAATCACCTCGCGCAGCGACTGAAATGCATCGTTCAGGCTGTGCATGCGCATGCGTTCCCTTTCGTTCGACTCCAGTCTGCGTAGATTTCGCTCTTTGGCATTCAGTGCGCCTTTGCGACGACGATTCGCATTGGCGTTGCTGCTGTTGCTGCTGTTGTTGTTGTTGTTGTTGCTGTTGCCGTTGCCGTTGCTGTTGGGCGTTAGATTGGTGCCATTTTGTTGCCGGCCGCGACTCGAGGGACGTTGTCCGCCCAGCGCTGGGCCCAGCTGATTGCTGCTGTTGTTGTTGGTGCTGCTGCCGCCCCCATTGCTGCTGCCACCGCCGCCGCTCGTGTCGTCGCTCTGCGAACTGGAATCGGTCATCTCCAGGTCGTAGGTGTTATTGCTTAGCTGTGAAACAGTTGCAACAGCGATTTGCATGCCATTTATCCCTTATAATTGATTATATATCTCTTTGCTTACCTGTGAGGTGCGTCGTGTGGCGCGTCGTACAGGTCTTGAACTACGCTCCACAGATTCCGGCGACAGGCCATTGTGGCCATCGGTGTTGTAGTTGTTGTTGTTGTGTTGCAACTGCTGCTGCAGCTGCATGAAATCGTGGCTGCCCATCAGCTCAGTCAGTTGCGTGGCATCCATTGTGTCAATAGAGTACTGTAAAGGAAAGTAAATTTTTAGGAGATTTCCCATATTCAATATTAAATTTAAATTAAATTAAATTTTCTTTAAAATATACTTTTTTAAGTTATTAATATATATCCTATACTAATCATATTATAGTAACTCAACTACTTCTTGGCTCACCTTGTATAAATTATCTTTAAGCCAAAGTTTCCCAAGCCATCAATATCGTATAACAATAAATTTACATTTAAAAAAGATTTTTTGTGATAAAATTAAAAAATATTATGAAATATTTGAAAACTCTCCTAAATTGTAGATTAAATATATCAGCTTAAACTGCTGAGTATTTAAATACAAATTAAAAGTGTGTTTTAAACATATACCGAAACTTTGCAGACCTTGACTTGAAAGATCAAGATCTTCCTCAAACATAACCTTGGCGTTTCTTAATTACTTATATATATACTTATATATACTTATATCTATATAAGCTGCCCATCTAATATTGATATTCATCTCCACATTAAAATTGTTGTTATGAATATAAACTAAGAATTTGGTATTTAGAAATCTTATCAATATTTTGCTAGATATTGTGAAATAGATTTAAATACATAATAAATAGCACTATTGGAAAAGAAGTAGATAAAAGAGCTTTTAGTTATAGAACACATAGAATATAGAATATAGACTCCGTATGACTATAATACACATAGAGACTTACAACAAAGGAAAATATGCTTTTTACATTTGCTCAGAAGTGAATACAAAAACGAGAATTGCAAAAAATCGCATTACTTCGCTCAGAATTTATTTATTTTCGACTATTTTAAAATAGTTGAAATAAATAAAATAACAATAGTAAACTTAAAAATAATAGAAAAATTAAAAAATATTAAATAAATCTATCTATAATCTATCTATAATGATCTATACTGAGTTGAAGAGGCAATAATCTCAGAATATTAAACAGATCAATAATGATCGAAGCTTCAAATTGAAGGCTTAAAAACAACAAGAACTGAGCAAAGCTGTTTAGCAAGCCTTTAAGTTATCAATTGAATAAATATTAAATAATTATATTTATATCTACATTATAGATTTTTTGTTTCTCCATTTAGAATCAGCTATAAATATTTATATTTGTTATTTATCAAAAATATTCGTTGAGGAACATCAAAATAGCTTTAAATGTAATTTTCGTTAGACAATTGCCAAATTTAAATTTGATCATAAATATATAAAATATTACATAGTTGATATTTGTCGATTTCCCCTGTGTTACATCCATATATAATTGTCTGACAGTAATTTGTTAACTGGTTTGACATCGCGTAGTATTTATGCTTGATGTTGTTAATTTCTGTCAGTTTTATCTGCTCAATCTCAACTTATTAGTATTGGTTTCCTCTTAATCGTATTAATAGACTTTGCGTCATATTCATAATTTTTCTTATCTAAAATCGATATCAGTTATTGATGCACGTGACATTATCAGCGTTTAACATGCGGCTTTGTTAAACACAGAGTTTTGTAATTGTTGTCGCTGAATCGATTCATTTGGGGTATTCGGTTTTCAATCGAATTGTTCGATATATTAATCGATAACTAATTCGATAACTAAATGATTTGATACCGATTTAACTTACTTAATCAACAATTTTATCGTTTCATTCGATATATTAAGGGGATGCTCGTTTAATATATTAAATATTATTATTATTAATATATTAAGTATTATTATTATTAATATATTAAATATTATTAGTTAATTACCTTTTATATATTATTTATTTTACTTAAATATTAGCATTGTATAATTATTTATCGATCAATTTTAGTATAATTTCGATACATTTTGATCAAGTTTTTGTATTTATATCGATTCCATCTATATATTATTTTCGAATATTGCGGTTAATCGAATAGGTAAACTTACTGTTATCGATTAATTCAACATACAAATTTATAGCTCTTGATATAAGATCTACATTTGACTTTACAAACTTTGAAAATATCATATTATTCTTTAATTAATAACGTTTGCAATAAATTAAATATTATAATTGATAAATCAATAATTTAGTTAAAAAATAAATTTATATCCTAACTTTAATGTAGTCCGCTTCAAAACCAAATTCGCAATTATATTTTTATAGTTTTCTAAATATCGATTATCAAAAACATATTCGATAATTTTAAAATCTAATTTTGAGCTCTTAAATTCTCAAAGAAGAAATCTTTCTATTTACGACTTTTTAGCTGAATTATTAAAACGTGTAGGGCCAGAGCCAGGATACGGAATGCATTGCATTGTAGTTGATTTCTAAATACGGCGAAAGCAAACGCTTTGCTCTTTTTATGACGCAGGGGGAAGGGGTGGACGAGCCAAACCACTGAGCCGCTGAATGTTGGCGGCGTTGTTATGGTTATGCCCCTTGGCATTGAAGCATTTGACCGGAACAGCGTGCAGCATTTAAAGCGCTGACTTGTTGAACAACGGACAACGACATGGTCATGGATATGGATGCGGATGGCGAGGAGTGTTCAAAGGCGGGGGCAAAAAGGGCAAGGGTCAGTGGGGTTGGGAGATGGCCGGGCGGGACGTAACAGAAAACGCGCACTTTGCGGCGCGTTTCTTTTGTCGCCTGACCGACTGGCAGCTGCGACTGTGGCGCTATTATTGAACTGCATGTTGTGGCAAGCTCCTTGGGCCTTTGGACTCTTTAATAGAAATGCTACAAGAAATTAAAACACAACAGCAACATCAAAAACAGCAACAACAGCAGTAGCAGCAGCGAGCTGCTCACAGCGCTTGTAATGGGTATAAGGTTATAGGATTACATTCCCAGCGATTGTGCGTTGATGTTACGTAATGGCTTTTAGTTATAAAAAAGCAGCAAAGACCATGCCACTAGCGACTAGCCGAATACGAGGTATCCTTTAAGATGTCCTAAAGTAGTGATATTTTGAAGTTTTTCAAAACTTTTTGTTTGACTATTATATTATAATATAGTAGAAATTAAATTATACCAAATCTTCAAACTAAATTCAAATATTCATAGTCAAAGTTTCTTATAGAAATCCTACATTTTCCAATTTTTATTCATGTTCTTCCTCTAAGAGCTCATTGAGGTGCGTTTTTGATAAGCCACAAAAAAAATATTATCTAAATTTCAGATGCATAACAAAGCTGAAAAATTGTGTATGCTTTCGAAATGAACTCTAATATAAATATATAAGAAAAATGTTATAAAACATATATAAATAAACATATATAAATATAAATAAAATATAAATATATAAGAAAAATATTGTAAAACATAAATAAATTTGAATATATAAATAAAAAATTATTTTGTTGTATATAAACTAAATTCTATTAATTTAAGTGAATAATATTTGCATTTCTAGTTATGCCTAAACTCTACTCTATGTACAGCAGTAGATGATAGCTACTTAATAATATCACCTTAAAGGTTATTGAAAAATATATACAGACAACAATCCACTCATATTTGTTGTTGATTAAAAATAAATATTATAAATATAAAAAAAATAAAATAAACATTATTGATAGAAATGTGTTCAAGCCGACCTACATAAAAAAGTTGCAAAATAGAAAGACACAAAAATTCTTATAAGAACAAATTCTTTATACAAAAATGTTTACTTGGAAATGCTTTCTATTACACTTATATATTTTTTGTATTTATTTCAATTAAATTCTATTTAATATGCTCTGTGATTAAACTAATGAAACAATAATAAGATCATCTCTGTTAAAGCGCTAAGTCTAAATCAACTGAAATTAATTCTAATAGCACAAGGATATGTTAGTTGACAAGGCTTTTAAGATAATAAAGTTCTTGAAATGCAGTCAGAGAATTTTTGAAGTCATCTGAGCTTTAAGTTTATATATAGCTACAACTTCTAGTTTGTCTCAAGTTCCAGCAAAAGAACTCTCAATATAAGCGACTTATGATCATGAAAACCTGTACCTTTTACAACTTAACTGAAATTCTGAAGAGTCTTATATGCTTATGTATATCTCGGCAAATTTGTTACATATTTTCTAACAAATATATAACACCCTTCCTAAGTATTACTAAAAAACAATCCAATACCATTAGGAATTCATTTTACATGAACTTATGCTTGGGGCTTAGCCAAACTTGTACGCAGTTTGTTGCTGTTGCATTATTCGACAATGAGTAGCCGATTTGTTGGCGCCATGCAACATGTTGCAGCTACCAGTTGCTGCTGCTGCTGTTGACACTGAAACTGCGGCAGATTTTATGCGGCTTTGTCTGACAAACGTCCTTAAGCAGCAGCCAGCCAGCACCTGCGCTTGTGTAATATTTATTATGCTCTCTATTAAATAAGTGAAGCATACATTTCTGCGACAGTATTCTTACTGCTGCTGCTGTTGTTGTTGTTGTTGTGGAATAAAAGGTCGTTGCTAGCTTTATAAAACAATATAGAACTGCTTTTGACAAGCACGGTAAAAAAGTGAAGCTTTTCCTCCTACGCATTTACCAAAGAGTAGGTCAAATTTCATTTAATTTAAACAGTAACTATTCAACTATTGGATAACTGCTAAGCTTACTTATATTGTAATTGTATTATATACATTATTGATTTTATATGAGATATATGAACATAAAATGCAAAAAGTAAAGTAAAAATAAATCTGGAAAAAATTTAAAAAATAAGGTAATCTTTTTAATACATTTTTTACGTAGAATATATAAGATAATATGACAGCTTATAATATTAATATTACATATGTATGTATATTATTAAATAAATGTATAAGCCAGCAAATCTTCAATCTTAGTTTATTTAGTCTTATAAAACAAGTTTTTTGTATACCTAAAATTTGCCTTTGCAATTTCTCTAGCTCTTAAAAATATGATTTATTAAATAAACTAAATAAAAAATGTTCTTGCTGAGTATTTTTCTCATAATATCTAGAAGTCTATCTGAAATATACAATTTACTTTATCAAACTTTTTGTTTTAACGAAAACAAATATTTGGTATATTTTTATTTATGATTTATAAATGTTAACTAAACAAAATTTCCAATTCCAATGCCAGAAGAAGTGAAATACATCATTTACATAAATATTAAATTTTTTTCTTGCTTCTACGCTATTTATTATTATAAATATATATTTCTAAAATAGACTTAACCAAATTGCCAAACAATAAATTGCCTAAAACTTATTAAACTTTTTCTTTCTATCTATATTAAGTTGGAATATGTTTTTAAAAGATTTTAAAGTTCTCAAGTCGTAAAAATCTGAATCCCAAAGTCTAAAAAATTCATAATTATTAATTATTAAATTAAATAAATTTATAAAATAAATAAAAAACAATAAAATTTTGTAAATTTTCATTCTACTTACATTCAAATGAATTTCAATATTGTTATTGAATATATGAATAGAGAATTATATACAATTCGTGCACCACAGCGTTGAGCATTCACAATTTTCCATCAACTTTAAGAAATATGCGTATCAAACATTTTCACAATCATCTTTGCCATATTCACACACACAATTCACTGAACAATTTTGCATTTTATAGGAATATTTCTCAAATTTGGCGCTGCCTGTAAATTTTGTGAAATTTTTGTATAAATATTTATGGAGACTTGTGCGTTTTGAAAATGGTTTTCGAAACAAAGTCACTCGCGACGACCAAATTGCGTTGAATCAATTGATAAACTGAGCACCGGAAACGCGTTGACGTCGACTGCCACTTGTGGAATGGAAGCGACGAGCAGAGCCGAGCCGAGCGAGAGCCAGAGCCAAAAGGCGAATCACGAGCCTGCCCGGCACGAAGTCGAGGCGAACATGTTGCGGCGCCAGCTCGTGTGCGTCTGTGTGCATGTGTGCATGTGTGTGTGTGTGCTTGTGTACGGCCTAGGGAGACACCCATACGATGTACGACGGCTGGCGAATCGAGACCTTTTAATTTCGCTCAACAAAAGTTTTGAGCGCAATTCCGAGTGAGTTTTCGCCTGTGCAATCGAGTGATGGTAAGCTGGCATGCAGGAGGTTGAGTGGAATGGAATTGAGTGCAATTATGGTGATTGGAGTGAGTTGCCTGTAGCACCCCTGTTGTTCTTGTTGTTGTTCTTGTTACTGCACTGTTTTCCCTTATCACGTTACTCATACGCATCACACACATGCACACACATCAGGGGGTGGCTTATGTTGTTGTTTTTTTTTTCCTTTTGGAGTTGGAGTTATGCACACCACGTGCTGCGACCCCCAACTCCAGTAGGCGGGGGTCGGGCGGTCGGTCGCTCGTTCGGTCGAAGTGGGCCATTGACGCTCTGATTAGCATCATTGACGTACGGTACTCGCTCGCACTCTCTCTCTCTCGCTCACTCACTCACTTTCTGGACCGACTCCATGTGCTGGCTGAGTGACTGTGGCATAGTCTACACTGTTATTATGTATTATTATCGTCTGTTTGTCTACGCTTTTGTTGTTGTTGTCGTTGTTGCTTATCACTGTGCTTATGTCCTTATCGAAAGGGTTTTATCGCTGATAAACTATTGTCGAGATAATAATAAAATGTTGCCAAAGAGTTTCGGTTAGTTGAAAGTTGGCCTTTATTTTACTTTACATTTTTTTTTCGTTATTTATATTTTGTCTTTTATGCAATTGTTAAACATTGCTAAAGGACTTTCAAGGCGCGCCTTTGTCTCAGTGCCTTAATAAAGCTGTTTATTGCACTTGTAGCACTTTGTGTGCAATTTTTTGTATAACATAATTTTTAAGCAATTTTAACTTGAATTGAATTTTAATTTAATTTAAGTTCTATCAAATTTTCAGTTTGCTTTATTTTCAGATTTCTAAGCGCAAGAATTTTGATATGCTTACGTAAATATTCAGAGAATTATGATGTGTTTGAGCTTAGGCTTTGAAACATAAATAAAAAAATTATGAAAAGCTTAGAGTTTAACAATTTATATATTTTTTTATATATATATTTTTTTTATTATATTATATATGTTTTTAGATATTTAAGAGATTTGTATTGCTGCTTGGTTCACTATTTGAGCTTAAGCTTTCATTTCGTTTCGTTTTTCCCTGAGTTTTTATACTTCAGATATTTCAGAATTCATACACAAATACATATATATACATATAGTATATGTATCTATCAACTTATTAATGTATAAAATGCTGTAGAAATATGCCTCAAGCTCGTTTGAAGCTGAGCTCTGGGTACATTTTAGTTTCTTACTGCTCCATAGAGTAATCCTAACTATGTATTCTTTAAATAGATAATTTATGGCATGTTTAGAATATTTTCGCTAATTTTTACAATTTATTTTAATACTCAAATTACAATAATTATATATAGAAATCAGTTTTTAAATAAATTATTTATACTAAAATCATTTTAAAATAACTAATATACCCCGTATTGTTAAACTCTATGGGCTCAAAATGTAGTTTCGTTTGCTAGATTTGCTACTAGAAGAAAGAAAATGTAATTTGCTCAGTCTTCTTCACTCCTTCCTTCTCAGCTCCTAAGCCAAAATCTTATAAGGGATATATGTAAAGCTAAATTTTATATCTATCATCTATCAGCACTTACACACACACACACACACACTCACACAGCAACCCTCAGAAATTCATGCCCACTTATTAAGCTTGCGCTAAGTATAGGACTTTATCAGCCAAATGAACTTCACTAGCTTCCAGTGCACTTTCTGGTTTTGCTTCGGCTTCGGTTGCGACTTCAGCTTCGGCTACGATATTCAACTCGACGGAACTGCGGGCTGCCCTTCTCTATTGGGGGCGGGGTTGGGGTGGCCGCTGCTCGGCAAATGCCTCTTCAGCCAAGTGTTGCCAAATACAAATTGACAGTTAATATTTTTAAACTAGTCAGAGCGAGGTCTTGTGGTGGCGGTGGCTGTGCGAGCAGTCGAGGGGTGCAGCTGCCTGCTGCCTGTTGCCTGTTGCCTGCTGCCGATGTCGACAAGGACATTATGTAAATCACACAACGGCAAAAACGCGTTGGCGTTGACTCATCCCCCCAAGCCCCAAGCTTCACTTCGGCTCTTGCAGCTGCGATGTGGAAATAATAAACAGGAAAAAGACGCAGAGCAAACGAAGGCCAAGCTGCAGTTACTCAGATATTCAGATACTTTTGGCGTGGGCGTTGCTTTTCATCCGGTTTGCCATTTGATTATGCCCAGGCAGCAGCAGCAGCAGCACTACTTGTTGTGGTTGCATGTTGCTGCTGCTCGCCATCAACTGAGTCCAGCCCTTAACATATTAAACCGATCATTGTACTCGACATCTCAAACAAAAAGTTAAGCAAACAAATACAATAATAACTCGCAGTATATGAAATGCCTTTCGGCTCTTACCCATTTTCGAAGGCTAGACGTTTGTTTGCTCGGCTTGTCCTGGTTTCATGTGTAAGCCAATTGACTGCAAAGTCTATGTGCGGTTATTTGAGTTATGTAATATACGACACAAATAACTAGGCGGAACTCGAGAAGGAAAATCAATAAAAGAAAATTTCAATTCAAACTATTTTCTTATTTAAAAATAAAGGAATCTATATTTTGATATTACATTTATAATGTTTTTTTTTTAAATTAATTAAATTTTTTTTATTTTTTATTTTTTATTTTAACTTGAAATTGATATGGATTTAAGATATTGTGTCTAGAACTTTACTTTTTTATGTATGAAGTCTGGTGTCTGTGTTAAGTTCGATGGATATGCTCTGACTTTCTTCCTTCTCCTTTCTCATTTAAGATCTGTTATTTTTTTTGTATCTGTAGGCAAACTTAGAACTTATTATTTATCGAATATGTTGCTATGAGTCCTGTTTTACAAATCCTGCTTTTCAACTCATCCAAATAACAACTGGAGAAAGAGGTGCATACCAAATCAAGGCAGTATTTCCCCCTTGACCTAGGAAATAGGAATTATGGTCGTTTAACCCGGTGCATATTGCCTCCATCTGTGTATCTATCTCTCTTTCCCTATCTTTATATACATATCTCTCTTTCTCTCTCTTTCGCTCTTTCTTTGTCGCTATCTCCATATCTCTCTCCTATCTGTTCTCTTGCTACATTTCTTTTTGCTCTGTCTCTTTTTATCGCTCTGCCTCTCAACTTTTCTTTCTTTCTTTTTATTTTTTAATCTCTCTCTCACTCTCCGTCTCTCTCTCTCTCTCTCTCTCTCTCTCTCTCTCTCTCTCTCTCTTTGCGGCGCTCTCCCTCTCTCCGTTTCCCCTCCCGCTCTCACTCTCCATTTCACACTCCATCTCTCTCTCTCTCTCACTCTCTCCCCATCCCTCTCTTGTCCTTTTATTTATAGCCATATTTATATATATATCAAGCACTTTTTCTTTCTCTCTCTCTCTCACTTTTTGTCTTATATTATCACCAAGATTTCTTATAGAATTCTTATGGAATAAACTTCATTACTTAGCTAAAGATAAACACTTATGATTCAACTGCTTTCTTTAAAATAAGACTCTGACTGCGTGCTTTATAGGAACACACACGAAAATAATAATAAATAAATTACCAAACACTTGTTCCTATGTGGAAAATCAGCTGAATCCCAAATAGCTTGGCATTATTTAATGGTTGTCTCTCAAGAACAGATCTAGGCTTCTAATACGAACTCAGCGAACGGGGCATTGGTAACCGCATCCTGGTAACCGCAACAGCGTGTCAATCAAAGCGGTTGAACGGGCGAGGGGAGGAGGCCAGTCGCTCCGGCTTTAATGCAATCAAGTAGCAGCTCTGCTCTCTACCCGAGCAGCATATTTAAGCAGGCAGCTTAAAAGCGTTTAACACACACAAATTTAATCATGAGACAGGACTACAGGAGCTCGACCCCCAGCCCGAAGGGAATTGAGCGGCGTTTAGCTGTGTAAAAATCACACCCGCGGTTATTTAAAATGCTAAAAACAAGGCAAAATATTATAAGGCAATAATAGAGGAGTGAAAAAAGAAAACAGAAAAAAGTATATAAGCGACGCTCGACTTACAGCTAGACCAATGCTAACGCCCAGGGGCCAACCCACGCGGCCCCTGTCAAATGTCAATAGCAAAAGCGACGACTTTTTGCTGTGTCGTCAACAGCTGCTCGACATCCTGCGTATCCGTCGGACTCTCATCCTCATCTCAGCCTTTTCGATCATACCAAAAGCCCCTTCTATGTCCTGGTCTTACGCTGGCTTGGGGTCAGTCTAACGGCAGATTTACATTTATTATGCCCATCGACCCTGAAGTTGTTCCAACATAATCGGAGGCTGCATGCCAGCTGTGTGGGAATCCATAACCGAATATTGAGGTCAATTATTTTCGTCTTTTTTTTACAATTTTCAATTTTCAATTTTCTTATAAATAATTGAATTTTTCTTTATGTTGGAATAAAAGTAATGAATGGCTTTGAATGCTGAAGGAAGATTATTAAACTAGCTTATCAAGCTATCATAGAACGCAAACAAAATCTATCAAACTGTTTTAGCTGTTTATAATTTAACTATAAGCATTACTCTGTGTACATTTTTATCTTCAGAGTATAAAAGTTTAGCAAAGAGAAATCCGAGTATAGGAATTAACCAGCTCATAGCTATTCTGAGATTCCCAAAATTGCAATTGAAACACTTTCACTCGCAAACTGCCATCAACTGTCGATCAAATCATTTTCTATCGCTAAAATATCTCTAATAGTAGTACTTATCGATATTGATAACGATAGGTCGAATGCATACACAAATTTGAAATGTTATCGGGTATGACTGAAAGTGCTTCCTGTTTAGATCGAATGCAGACGATCAAATTTAGCTCATAACATTTTGACATATCGATAACGATAACAACAACTTGTAAATATATATAATGTTAAGTTGTATTCTTACTTCATATATTGTTTTTATTAGTAATCGATAAAATAAATAAATAAAATTGTTAAAATAAATAAATCGATCATTTTTTTCTTAGGAAAATTACCAACTAGCTCAACACCTAGGACCTAATGATATTTATAATGGAAAGTCGAATATATACACATATTTCTTCTATCTGCACTTTGTTAGTTATCGCTAAATGCAGAAATATTTCTTAGATATCGATAAAAATATCTTGGTTCCCTATGAAAATACTTATCGGTAATGCTGTAGATAAATAGAATACATATACAATACTTTAGCGTTGACTACAAAGGGTTTCAGCTATAAATACAATAAGATGATTTTAATTAATCGATAACATATCGATATATGCTATTCTTATGCAGTTTTCAGCTATATTTCCTCTTCACATCTACCCAAATTCCTAATAGGATTTGTATTTCTCTGCCAAGAGTCTAAGCAAATCGATAGACTATGTAGACCTGCAACGCAATAGCCTTCTGTTTTGCTGTCAATTCTAGTTTTCTTGAGAATTTCTTTGTTCACATAGACTTCGTAGAGTTCGTTGAATTATAGTTGTTTAAAGTTGTTTAATTTTCAATATTGCACCTGCCACTTTTTATACGTCTAATTTGAGCTTTGCCCAGTACTATCGATAGCCAAACAATGGAGCAAGAGAAGATTCCCGAGGCGGACATGTGGTGCGTATCGAAGAATGCCCGTAAGCATCGTCGCGTCGTTTTGGACTTCATACCGAACATTGCCCTGCCCATTGTGGACTATGCGGATGTGGATAGAATCGATTCATTCTACTTAGAATCTCAGGAATATCGAGACTATTATCGCGATCCATACGACAAGCTCCATAAGCCACTCAAGTTCATATACCTTCAGGGCAAATGTGGCGTTAAGCCCGATACGAGTGTGGAACAGTTAAGGCAGCCAAATATTTGGGCTCCTAAACGGGTACCGCCAGTTTTGCCCGTCGAATACCAGTCCTATCTGAATCTGGGTTTCAATATAGAGGAAATAATGAAGGGGCGCCACAGCAACCAGAGTTGCAACGTGTACAAACGATAAATTGTCGATAAGAAAATACGTTAAGTTGAAATCGTTTCTCGACGTCCAGTACCATATCGATGGGTTTATTCAGTGCTTAAAAGTTATGTAGACGAATTTTAAGTATTATAACCAGGCAAACATCAAATTTCAAAGTATAGAAACGTAATTCAATTTAACCATTGCTCCAATCAGACATCAATTCAGACAAAACTTGAACCTTAAAAAAAATTGTTTATGTATTATTTATTTGTATTATAAATATTAATGATGACTATGACCTTTGTCGTTCACTAAAAATAATGTTTGTTATTTAGTATATTTTAATATTTTTTAAAAGAAGCAACAGCTAAGTCTGAGTGTCTACCTACCTGTCTGTATTTTCGCCTGAGACTTGAAATGTTGTGCGTAGGTTCGTTCGTGACACGCACAGATCATTGAATTTATTAAGATCAATATGTAATCAAAATTTTGAGTGCCTTCTTCGGAAATTTAGCTATTAATTCTTTGAAAAGTATTACACAATTTTTGTATCTTATCTACTTTCCTTAAAAATGTGCAAAAAGGGTTTAGAAAATTTTCTAGTTGGGAGTGTTTTTCAGTTCGAGGTAGTTTCTAGTTGGGGGGTATTTTCTAGTTGGGCACTCCCTATAGAACTTTTCTTGAAGGCTGAGTCCAGTCGTTGCAGTCTTTGCATTGATTGTACTCAGACTATATGTTCTATATGTTTAAGTCATTTTTATATGCGTAGATATATTATTTTTAAAATAGAAAATGTTTAAATTTCAGAAAAAAAACTATAGACAATTTTTTATTAATTATTTCTTCTATTACACTATTTTAACTTGACTTGCCTTGAACAAAATCTTTTAAGCATTGAGCTATATTTTTGTGTTAGAAAAAAGTAGTTTTTAAGGGAAATTTGTATCCTCTAAACAAATACTATAAAAAATATAATTTAATATAAAATAATATAATATATATAATTAAGGATTCTAACTTCTCTAGATAAGTTTCTCTTGTAAATCATTTCAACTCTTTATAAATAATAATAATATAATGTAATGTAATATATTTATATTTATATTATATTTATTTATTATTTTTATTTATTAAATTTATATAAAAATATTAAACATTTTATTATGATATATATAAAGCTTCCCTGGACCAATTCCATTATATATATATATATATAAGAAAAAATTTTGTTTTTAAATAAATCAATTCCAAGTCAAATGATATTCAACTCGACTCATTTTCACAGCAGCTTAAATCTGTGTTTCCAACTTTAAGTTAGCATATTTGCAAGCACTTTAAAGCTCTATATATAAATATATGCTTCAGATATTTACTCAAACACTTGATGCATGTGCCAAGAACTGAGCTGAAAAGCGCACAGAAATAATTATTATTTACACAGCGGCTGACGACTGAATTTCATAGTCCACATTTGACTTGGTTGGGGAGGGGTGAGCGCAGTGAAAGAGAGGCAGAAAAAGCCGCAAAGGCTTACGGAGAACTCTTCATCCGTTACCTTGCAGCGAAACACTTGCTAATTGGTGTCATTAAAAAGTTGAGACGAGTTCTTTAACAAAAATATGTGCCACAAGCAAATAATGCGTATACGTCACGTTGTATGTGGGCTGGGTATGGAGCAGCTGCTCAGTGTTGCATGCCCCAGCTACTGCTTTACAATGTAAATGTAATCAAAGTTTCCATAATTTTTTAACACCTTCCGCTTGATTTGTGTTTATGAAAATGTTCGAGTAAAAATTCATTGCGGCGCACCTTGAAAAGGTGCTCAGAAAATTAGCATTTAAATTACGCGACAACCATCGCCGCCTCCGCCACCTCTGTCCAGGCGTAATCCAAGTTTAGTTTTAGCGTTCAATGAAGCAACATTAATTGGAATATCCTGCCCTGGACACTCTGACGTCCAGTGGCTGGCTTTGATGGCTCGCCTATAATTGTTATTGATGGCGCATTATCCAATGCCGCACAAAAACAAAGTCAACTTTTTGTGCCCCAACTGCCGCTGATTGTAGAGGTGTTATGCTAATCAGGCATGGGCCGTGGCCAATGTTCTGGCCAGGCACTCGGCCTGTTTATGAAATCTGTGCCTGCTGTAGAAGGGAGAGAGCTTGATTAAAACTTATTTTACATCATGTCAAGCGGAGTTATAGATATATCTGTAATATATCCCAATCAGTTCGTCTTTAGATCACAAATAATGTAATTGATATTACTTGATTAATTGATATTACTATATTTTTTTAAAATATATTTTTAATTTTAAAATCTGGTTTTTATTTTTACAATTTCCCAAAATAGATATATTTATTTTTTTAAATACCATATAATAGTGAATAACTGTATATAGGTTTCAGTATAAGACTAGTTTTAGTATAGGTAAAATAGTATTCCAGACAAACAAAGTACAGCTAATTCTGTCAGCTATGCTGCATAAATTAACTAAATAAATTAGACATGAGTTAAACATATCTTTTTATCATAAATCTGACTCATTCAGGGATTGATTTGAGTTTGGCGTATTAAAGGTATTTATTCCACAGATCAATAGGAATTTTTATGATTTCTCAATCAACAGCTCTGTTAGCTAATCTATTGTGTTTTCTGCGCTGTTTGTTGTTGAGCTTCAAGGCCAACTCTCATCAGCAGCGACTCACACTCATGTATGGCCCCTGTTCCATGAAGCCAAAGAGTTTAGCTAGCATAGATAGTGACATACCCTGTAATTGTTGCTGCATAGGTAATATTAGTGGTTAATTATGCATTTGTAAAAGTAAAACTCTTATAAAAATAAGTACTTTTAACTAAATTTTGAAGCACTTACCAACACTGTTAAAGAATATCTTTAAAAAAAATGAATAATATTAAATTAACATTCGAGAGAGTAAAGGTCATAGTAAACTATTTTTGAGCACTGTAAAATTATGATTTAAAATATTTTTTATATTTTATTTACATTTTCTATTGCTATTTTATTTTTATATTTATATAATTTATTTTTCATATTTTTGAGCACTGTAAAATTATGATTTAAAATATTTTTTATATTTTATTTACATTTTCTATTTATTTTATTTTTATATTTATATAATTTATTTTTCATATTTAATTTTTATATTTATTTATTTCAATTTCTTATTTTGTGTACAATTTATTTATTTATTTATACAATTTTATTTATTTATACAATTTATTTATATTTAATTATTTTTTATATTTGCAAGTTTAGTTAAAGTTCAGAGTTTGAAAGTTTCTTTTCATTTAAGTCAAATTCTAATTGAGTTAAGACTAATTTTTAGGCATTTCTCAACACTGTCAACTTATGTTTTGGAAAATTATGCTCAATTTTCAATAATATTTGAAAAACTAATATTTTATAGCATCAGTCAAAGCTCTCTTATATGTACAGGGTATAGCACACACGCACACTTACCATTGCATATTTGAATTTTAGCTTTACAGATGAGCCAAGTAGGCGTTGGGGGGTGGAGGCGTGGCTCGGCAGCTGAGGCGTGAGCTTGAGTTTGCCTGGCGGCTGAATGGCGCCGCTTTGACCAGCCCGCAAAACCGACGCCGCAGCCAGAATACAGAAGAAGCTAGCGCAGACCTAGGGCCACGAGCCACCCGTTAATCACCCAGCATACACACACACACACACACACACACACACGCACACGCGCGCGCGCTCTCTCACACACATAGAGAGACGCCCGCACACACAGATCCAGGCAACAATCTATTTACATTTACACCAAATGTACAAATTTAGTTATCGTTAGCTGGGTGACGACTGGGGAGTGGGTGGCTGAATGAGTCGCAGGGGGGAGGGGCAGGCGTTGGTGGGACGTCAGACGTCACGCAAAAGTTGTTTGCGTTGGCGAACGCACAAAAGTAGGCAACGTTATCTTTGCATGCGGTATATGGGGGCGTGCCTCGGCTGGGCATGGGGGCAGGGGGAACGGGGCGGGCATATGTTTACACACATGTTGGAATGTATGTTTCGGTGTGTGTGCGAGTGTGTGTATGCACATCTCTCTCTCTATCTCTCTCTCTCTCTCTCTCTCCCTGCTGATGAGTTTTGTTTTTCTTGAGCAAACTTTAATTGTTTTTGATTTTTCTAAGGATTCAAGTGACGCTCGTTTGCAAGCGGATGCCAGAGCATCATGATGAAGCTGCCAAATGATAATGATGTTGACAATGATATATATGAAGCACATGTGTCTCCCAGTGTGTGCCTTGCTTGAAGCCTTTGAATGTCGTTTCGGACGACAACAAATCAACGTAAGGAAAATTGAAACCGCGCGCGCACTCTGTCGCTGGCTAATTAAATGCACATTTGTCAAGCTTCGCCTGAGGGGGAGCTCTCCCAGCCACGCCCCTCTGCCTGCCTGCCTTTTTGAAAAGCCACTTGAAAACAATTGGCTGGCCCAATTGCCCAAATGTCACGTACGCCCGTGTAAATGTCAAAGAAAGGGTTAGAGCAACGTTGGCTAATTGTTGCAGTTGGCTCGAATTGGAGTGTGGGGCCTGCTACATGTTGCATGCTGCATGCTGCACGCTGCACACTTCCCAGCTCTGTATGCACTTGGCTTAAAAGTTTTGCCTGCAGAACCTGCTCGTCGAGAGCCACATTAAAGCATCGCCAGCCGCAGTCTCTGCTGCTCTGGGGGAAAAATCAGATTTTGCTCGTTTTTCATTTTGTGGCTCATCTGTTTGGCAAATTGAAAATTGCGCTCATTTATTGCATTATTCGCAAAACCTACTTGTTGTTGGGACCTGCTTTTTTTGCATGCCCATTCAAATAGCCGTGAAATTGCATTCGATTTGTCTGACAAAGTGTGCAAATGTGAGAGAAGCTGTGGATGGGCAGAGCAGCAGAGGGGGCTGGATGAGGTGGCTGGTTAAGCAAAGTGTTTGACAATTGTTGCAGCTATTTAATGTGACTGTAGTCTGAAAACAAAAATGCGTTTAAATATTGAAATCAAACAATGTCGAAAATACTTGTTAGCTTAAAAGATTCAAAGTGAGTTTCAAAGTCTTGGCGGATCTATGCAAATAAGTCCGTATCTAAATGCAAACACACATATTCTTAAA